TCCGAGACATCACATCTCGATACCGCTCAAACTAAATGACAGCCTATGTCGTCCGACGGAGAAGGAACGAGTCTTGCTACAATTTCACATTGCGCGCCTCAATTATTAACGAGTGCGTTGCTCTACATCCGGGATCGTGGGCGTAATATTGTCAAGGCACGAGCGTTGTTAGACACGTGCGCCACCGCGAATTTCATCTCTGAGGCTATCGTTCGAAAGTTGGACGTGCCGGTAATCAAGCATTCTATATCGATCGGTGCGATCAACGCCACGAAAACCGAGTCAAGGGGAGTCGTGCAGATTAGCGTTCAATCGTTACATAACGGCTTTAATAAAACATTGACATGCTTAACGATACCGGTCATTACAGATTTGATTCCTTCCGAAACGTTCCCTCGAGATGCGCTCACGCTGCCTAAGAATATAAGATTAGCGGATCCGGAGTTCCATAAACCACGTCCTGTCGACTTGCTCATCGGCGCTGGAGCAACGCTTTCGCTTTTTTCCGTCGGCCAAATCGACTTGTCACGAGACGGACATGATCTATATTTACAGAAGACGCGACTTGGCTGGGTGGTCGCGGGGGGCGCGCCTGCACGCGCGTCGGTGCCAATCTCGTCAGATCCCGCCATTTGTTATCTAACAAACCTAGAAAAACAGATAGAGAAATTTTGGGATATCGAAGAAATTGCTCGGGACAGTCCGAAATCAGACGAAGAAATCCAGTGCGAATCTCATTTCGTAGAAAATATCTCGCGCGATCGGAGCGGACGTTACACAGTTCGCTTGCCGTTTCGTAAACCGTTTAGACGTCTTGGTGATTCGCGTAACGCTGCAGTTAAGCGTTTAACGGCATTAGAACGCAAATTCAGTGCCGATGAGGCTTTGAAGCTTGAATATTCTCGAGTAATCGAAGAGCATTTAAGATTGAAGCACATATCTTTAATTCGGGATCCCGGTAATGACGGATATTACATGCCTCATCATGCCGTAATTAAAGAATCGAGTAGCACTACGAAGGTCAGGATAGTGTTTGACGCGTCCGCGAAGTCAAACAACGGTACATCACTGAATGACGCATTAATGGTCGGACCTACGATACAGAACAAAATATTCGCGCATTTAATTCGGTTTCGCATGTATAGATATGTCCTTACCGCAGATATCGAGAAAATGTACTGTCAGGTGCTATTGCATGAAAACGATCGGAAATATCAAAGAATTTTGTGGCGCGTGGACAGGGAAGTAAAGACCTTTCAGTTTAATACGCTTACGTTTGGCGTTTCCTCGTCACCATTCTTAGCGATCCGTACCATACAACAACTCGCGGACGACGAATATCAGTTCCATCCTAGAGCAGCGGAAGTGATCAAAATGCATTTATATGTAGACGATTTGCTGACCGGCGCGGAGACGATCGAAGAAACGCGAGAAATTCGAGATGGAGTAAGCGCGCTACTATCTAAAGGCGGTTTCACTATACGAAAATGGGCGTCCAACGACGAACGAATCGTTAGCGACATGGCGGCCAATGCGCTGCACGCAGAATTCTCGTTAAACGCGGACGGCGACCATTCATTGAAGACGCTTGGAGTAGCGTGGAGCCCGCGTAGCGATGAATTGCGGTATGCGGCCCACGTTATCGAGGTTGCAGAAAGAGTGACGAAGCGGAAAGTTTTATCGGACATCGCAAAAATATACGATCCGTTGGGTTTGCTGGGCCCCATTGTATTATATGCGAAGAAATTAATGCAGGATGTATGGCGATGTAAGTTGCAGTGGGACGAATCTGTTCCCCAGAGTGTGTATACAGAGTGGCTCGAATTTGCGCGACAGCTCGGATCGATGGGTCGCATCGCGTTTGATCGTAGATTATGGTCTGATGAGTGCATTGACTTACAGCTGCACGGTTTCTCCGATGCGAGCAAGATCGGTTATGGCGCCTGTTTGTACATGCGCTCATGCGACAAGAGCGGGAACGTGAATATTAGATTGGTTTGCGCACGGTCTCGGGTCGCGCCCTTAAAAACGGTTACGATACCGCGTTTAGAGCTGTGTGGCGCGCTACTGTTGGCACACTTGTATCGCGAGGCTAAGGAAACGTTGGGTACCGTTCCTAACAACATAGTTTTTTGGTGTGACTCGACAGTAGTGTTGCATTGGATAAAAACGCCACCGCACCTACTTAAGACCTACGTCGCGAATCGGGTCACTCAAGTAAGGGAAATCACTGATCCAGATGCGTGGCGTCACGTAGCTTCGGAAGATAATCCGGCCGATGCGATCTCAAGAGGTCAGTTGCCTCAAACATTTTTGCGAAATAAAACGTGGTTCGAAGGGCCCTCATGGTTAAAAAAAGGAGAAAGCGAGTGGCCTAACGAAGTCATGCAAGCGATGCAGGTGCCTGAATTGCGAAAAAACACGTGCTTAATCACGACGTTCTATGACCTGGAGATGTTTCAAAAATATTCATCGTTTTCTAAATTATTGCGAATTATCGCATACTGTTTGCGTTGGCGACCGAGTAACAAGTTTACTGGAACTTTGCGCGCGGTAGAGATAAGAGAGGCCGAAATACGCCTATTGAAACTTCTTCAGGCCGCGCAATTTGCTGATGAAATTCAAGCTATTAAAGAAAATAAAAAATTACCGGACAAAGGTAAATTGATCAATCTGAGTCCATTCGTGGACGAGGATGGCCTCGTACGGGTAGGAGGACGCCTCCAAAATTCGCACTTGACTGTGTCGCAGAAACATCCAATTTTGCTCCCGAGCCGTCACTGGCTAACCGACGTCATGATTCGGGAGACGCACGAAAGAAATTATCACGCGGGCATTCAGTCAACATTATATTTTCTACGGCAAAGATTTTGGATACTCGATGGGAGAAATCAAGTGCGAAAAATCGTTCGAGCATGCACGCGCTGTTTCCGTTTCAATGCAAACACGATCGAGTA